ATGTTTCATTATCATCATCATGTAATCCTTTTGAATCTGTGCCATTGAATTTTGCTTTTGCTATCAAATTACGTCAAAATTAGAAGCTATATGGGAATTAAATTACACCTATAATCTACAAAATTACACAATTTCGTAATTTCATTCAGATATTGGGGTTATTGTATTGTTGAAAAAGGTAAATCCAAGCAGAAGACGAAAACTATTAGTTACAGATTTTAAATATTTATACTTGAGTTGCAACATCAAAAATCAAAGTAATTAGGTACAAAATTTAAGTTCCGTGCTTCATATACTGGAACTTGTTTATAATGTTACAAGATTAACAGAGAATGTATACATTTAAATTGCAGCTTTTATCATCGGTACGTTATTTCCGAGACCAAATCAATAAAACTGAATATATTAACATTTTGATGGACGTAATTTAAAGTTCAAGAATCTGTACAATTAACAATAAAAACAGTGTATCCGATGTCGCTGTTGTTTGTTGTATAAATGTAAAATGAGTAGTGTTGACGGCTTGTTTTAAGTAGATGTCTTAAAAATTAATTGTTCTACCGTACTTGTAGAATGCTTATTTAAACCGAACGACTGTCTTGTGTATTTTAATTGTCGTCATATTTAAAAATAAACATTAGATGAATTTGCAAAAGATGATGTTATACATATATTCAGACAAATTTTAATTATTAACATTCATTAAATAAGAACACCGTCGTAGTCTCGGTTTTTATGGTACCGTTTTCTTAAGAACAACTGAAACCACTCGATGTTCAAAGTCTTTAATAAATCCAACGTGATTTAGAAAATTATCTGAGATGTCTAGACTTGCCAATTTGATTTGATTATAAGCAACAACTTTGTGTAGGTTTTTTCAAAATATGATTTTCACTAGATATTGTCGCCTTGAGACTACATGGTTTGATAACAGTTGAAATTAAGGCTAATTTACAATGCTCTGTTCTATTGCAATTGATGTGTTACGTTTTTGTGGATTTATTGTGCTTTTATATGTACTATTATTGACGGTTCTGACGGTTTCGCAAGAATTTTATAAATTGCTCTGTTGACATTTGCAATATTTTACTGGAAGTAATTTTTGATTGATGACCTATTTTAAAGGTATTTTTCTTTATTCATTTGTGGTTGTTTTGTTTCGCTTAGATAATCTTTAACTTTCAAGTTTAAATTTTGTTTCCACTGCGTAAATTATTAGCGTCAATTACTTTTCATAAAGTTTGTGTTAATGGGTTTATTGTGTTGCGATTATCGTGTTAATCAAAACTGCCATATTGCTTACTAAATGTTTATCAGCTGTAAATGTCACAGTATAAAAATATATTTAACTTAAACCTCTACTGTAATGAATTGTTAAGGCAATGTTATAGTATTTTTTATCAGGTTTCAACAAGATTTACGGCGAGGTCTTGCTATTATGCCTAAATCCTGTTGTGTTGAGTTTTAGTACAAGAAATCCTGTATTTTGTTGTAAATTTTGTAGTCCCGAATCCTCTGAAAGAGATTGAACACAACGTCAAGACAAAGCTAAAAGTTAAAATATGGTATGGTTTGTTGGAATATTTTACTGATCTTTTATTTATTTCATCGATGTTAATATTGTTATTGATAAACAATTTACTTTTTGTTAATTAATTTCCAATAAATATATTATCCTAGTTTACTTTTAAGGTAGCATGGTAGGAAGTGTTACCGTGAAAGTGTTTTTCCCTTTCTGGTTGCTACAAGAACACGAAATACCCAAAAGAATGTTTACACAGATTTAGTACAACAAAATTAGTTACTTCGGCTCGGAATAACAGGTTTCGCTATAACGAAATTCGGAATTATAGGATTCCATTGCAGGATTCGGAATGTGAAAATTTGAGATTGCAGAATCGATATAATAAACTTGACGCTTTACATTGGTAGCACAATTTGTGTTAAAACAACTACAGAACTCGCCACCAGTCACCTTTCAAAAACAATATTCCCAAAATTTTCAAAGCAAACTTACAAGGAAGCAGATTACTTGTACCTCAAAATTTCTGAGATTGTCGATAAGAAATGGTTATAACCTAACGGCATGAAATGTTTTTACAAATTTACATAATTGATGATATTTATGTGCAATTATTGTAATGGTATGAGCTACTTCAGTACAGTTTTTGTTTTAGACGTCTTTTACGTGAGCGTAAACCCAATTTTATTAATCATAATGTGTAGCATAATAGATGCAAAGCACAACATTGCTTTTAATTTAAAGCATTTTTAGATTTTTATTGAAAACATGTTTTATTTTTAGCTCTAGCTAACAAAAACCGCTAACAAAAAGTTTTTAGCAACACACGAACGTTATCGTTCCACTTTACGATCAAGATTAATGTACATGCTTAATTATATTTCCACAACTTTCACAGAGACAGTAGTATTCATATGTTAAATGAATAAAACAGAAAATGCGACAAGAGTGAATATCTAATTAAAGAAGAAATCAAAAGAGAATAAACGTAAATATAGTCTTACTTCATGGGTTAATATAAGAAATCAATTGGATTTTCTTGTCTTAATTTTGGTTTTGGTCAAGTGTTCACATGCATTTTTGGCAAAAATTAAAACGTTTTTTATGGAAACTTTATTTTCACTATACACTAGCAATTCAGCAGTTTAATCGTACCGATGTTATCATTTAATGCCTATCATGCTACGTCCTGTGCTTTATTAACTCGTTCATTTTAGGAAAAAGTAATTCCTTTTTATTAGAAAATTGTTTTAATCTACGGAATATAGTACCTAATAAGCATTCACGTTCGGTAGAAGTAACTGACAGAAACTTTTCTGTGGTTAAGTTGCAATCTTAAGATCACTAGAAATTTAAGATTGGCATCAACTGTCTAATTTTCTAATTCAAATGTCAAATCTGAATTGTGTGGAAAAAAAACGAAGTTTTTCTAATTTCAACACGCTTCGTTTCAAGAAAATCCTTAAATACAGCATGGAAACAATTTCCATAAAAGTAATCACGAGAAAGCTCATTTTAAAGGAAAAGAAACAAGAAATATTTCGTGGTTTTCAAAAAATTGGGTAAAACCAAACAGTTAAACTGGTGGCAGAAATATTCTCCGTAAAGTTCGCTAGTGTTGTCGAGTGTTTTTCGAATTTTAAAATAATGCAGATACAGCGGCGCTTGTGCCGTTAATATTATAATCAGAATCAGAAAAACGACTGCGCAGATTTATATGCCTACATGCTTTGTTGGTTCCGTTCTACAATTGGTTTTTAAGTTTTATATAATCGTTAGTGTTTTGTAAGAGGTAAAACACTCGGCTTTGAAAATAATTGTACGTAATACACGTATAAATTTAGGTTTCCGAAGGCGAAGTTTTTCACATTTTAAACACGTTATAGCTGCCAGAATCAAATTTCTAAGGCGGTACCTATCTCCAATTGCGTGATTGTGGTGAAGATTTACTGTTCATTTTCTTGGATGAGACATGGATATACCAGAACGGATCCATGGTGAAATTGTGTGGATCCATGATGATGACATCAAAGCTTGTCCTCCTAAAAAAACTAGTGAAGGGAAAAGATTCAAAATTTTACATGCGGGTTGCTCTTTGGGCTTTTAGAGGGATGCGATTTTCTCCTTGGTTCAAAAATAGATTCACTAGATTACCACAAAACCATCACATTTTCGATATTTGACCTTTACTTACTTACATGTCACATTTTTGATACCTACTTTCTGACATTCCAGTAATACATTATACACTAGAACAATTATGTCCGCAGTTACAAAGCTTAAAAAAAAAAGTTACCAAATCTAGTTACATCTACCGAACGTGAATTCCTTATACATACAGTTTCCGCACATTTTTCACGGAAATGTAATTAGTTACTGTTACTATAAATCTTTGTCATTAAAAGATAAAAATACAAATAATAATCTGTTGGAATATTTAAATACAATAGAGGTTAAAACGTTGTCTTTCAAAGCTTTCTTTTTTTCATTTGGCATTCCGTAATTGTTGCAGACACGCGTGATCGAAAATAAAAAAACGGATCAGACTTGGTTGTGAGACCAAATGTATAGGTGGTACTACTGCATAACTGACACTGTGCCGTTCTGCCAACTGATAGGTCTGTCACTTGTCAATGTTAAAAAAATTGTAGGCGTAGTTATAGGTTATGTTGATTTACTTCAAATTGACCACCTAAAGCTCGACAGACCAGTTCTAATTCGTTTTACTTTCGATCGCTCAGGAGAACATAATTGTTAAAAAGTAAGTGGATATTTTTAATTGTTGTTTTAAAATTTAAAAAATCAACTTATTCAAGTAAATCAAGTATGTAGACTATCAAGTAGTGAACACATAGAAACACATTTTACAATTTAGTAAGCGTTATGTAAGTTACCTTGCCTTGTATCAAAGTGCAATTAACAAAATGGTTTAAAATTTATTTTAATTGTAAGTATTTTGTCAAATTAAATATTCTCTCGTAAAATAATGTGGATAAATTTCGAAAAATCGCTATTATTTACGTTAAGATATTAGTTACGGGGAAATTATATACTATGCTCCTGAATCTTCACACATACGTAGTACGTAAATTGTAAAACTTGAACTCTATTTACCTTATTTTTAATTATATTGGGTAGCAAGAGTTATTATTTCTTAAATTTCTACTAAGCAATTCTTTGAAGTCGTTGCTTAATGTAACCAAAGTTATTTTAATGTTCGTGTAAACAGCGACGACGAAGGTAGAACATGTAGGATGATGGTAAGAATTTATGTCTATAAGTAGCGCTTGAAATACCGGATATCCTAAGCCGTTTCTGAAAAATTAACTAAACCAGTTTTACACATCAGCTGCGATAAACTCATGTTGTTTGCTAATTTATCATTTACGCGGCAGATTGTCTTTATTAATAAGTACGAACGATTAAAATTTTTCTGTGGAAGCTATTAATATAATCTAAACGAAACTTTTAATTCCAGAATTTTGTGATGACATGGCAACTCGGGACAAGAAGCTTTCTGTTTCAAGAAAGCAAAACACATCTTCCCCTGTACCACCTAAAGAAGATTTAACAAACACTGAAATAAGTTCAAATAATGAAACGTCGGAGGAAAATCAGCCGGTTAAAAATGCCGCGGCGAAAATGTCACCGAGTAAAGCACCTTCATTAGCAAAGAAATTAGCAAATAAAAACCCCCCAAAGAAGTTAGCAAAGAAAGCTATTAGAATAAAACTGAAACCCACCATCAAGAAGAACGTGAAGATCAAACAAAAAATAATTAAAGCAATGTTGAGTAATCCTAAAAGTTCGGAAACCAAAAAGAAGTTGCTCAAAACGTGTGTTAAGCAAATAAAACCAAAAAAGACGAAATTGTTAAAGAACGATAAGATGGAGGAAAATTTGCCTCCGGTTTTGGAACCAATTCTACCGATCGAAGAGGAATTAGAAAACAAGCAGTCAAAGAAAAAAGGTGCAAAACCTCCTCGCATCGATAACTATTCGAAGAAAACTAACACCTCGGATACCGAGAATTTGGTTATCGATCCAGCGAAAACTAAGCGAGTTTACAAGAGGAAACCAAAAGCGGAAAATACGTCTACGGAAAGTATTGAAGACGTTATAAGTGATCTGACTTCGCTTATTAAAGCTGGCGATGTTAAAGAGGAGTCCGATGTTACGTCGGAATGCAGTAAAAGCGATTCGGTAAAGCCGAAGAAAGTACTGAAGAAGAAGAAGAAAGAGAATATAGAGAATACGTTAAGCGAGTTGAGTCCATCGGATCGTAAGGTTATCGACATGTTGGATTTAAATGTTAGCAAATTCAAGGATTTACCTATCGCGAAAAGGCGGCACAGTATTGAAAAATTTCCGGTGGGTGCTGTGGATGCGGATGGACAAAGTCTTGGCAGATTATCAGTATTGAATAATTTACCGAGATGTATTAGTCCTCGTACGAAAAGTGTTCCCAAACTTCGACAGACCCCAGACGGAGTCAATCGTCGCCTTAATCCATACAAGACTCGATCGGACTCGCCAGCAAGGATATTACGAAACGGCAAACAAAGAAAACTTAAGGATCTAGGACTGCTAGAAGGTCTAGTAGAAACAGCATACAAGAGACGCAAAAGGAACTGCTCCGAATTTAGTGGCAGCGAAGTGTCCGTTTCGAAACTTTCAGGCTATGAGTCCGATAGTAGTTTCTCAGACTTATCATCCATTCATGGTGCTGAAAATACCGAACATAAAGATGTAGAAAATATCAAACCGGAAAAAAAAGATAGCTTCGACGGTAATGAAGAATTTTCGGATAGTGTTCAAATCACAAAGAAAAGACGAACCTTGTCGAACGAAGCAGAAAGCAATAGTCAAAATATGGCAAACTTTACCGATACCAACTCGAATTTGTGTTTGAATAATAAGGAAAACACCCCCATCAAATGCGAGGACGAGGTGATTGAAGCTACCACGGTTAGTCCGAGTTCTAAAGTTCCTGATAAATCGATTATTCTTGATATAATGAAACAAGCATTTAACGATACTTTTGACGAAAAAGAAGATAAAGAAAGGAAATTGACGAAGCAGAAAAATGTGAAACAAAAGTTAGACACTGTTAGCACTGAAAGTTTTTATAATAAAACAGCGGATGTAAAAGACGAGGAAGAAACGCCGTGCAAAAGTGTAGTAGATACAAATGAAGTTCAAGAAGTCACGGATTTGACCGAAGAAGTATGTAATAATTCTCAAAACACGGAATCTGAAAAAATTGTGACCGAAAGCGCCGAGGCTGCAGAAGAAACAAGTGCACAAAATTCAAAGGACACTCACGAAAACGGAGTGAACGGAACTACGGAAGAATTCGAACCGGTTGTGCAAAATGGCGAATCGCACAAACCAAAACAAGCGATTGAAGAAACTCCGGAGAATTTGGCTATTAAGGAGAATATTCTGCAGGCGTTGGGGTTGCAAAGTTTAAAGGCAGCTAAGGAAGCTCGACTTAAAAGTAAAGAGAAGTCTGAACAAAAGTGTGATTATTACCAAGGTTCCCTTAAAGCTGTTATTAAAATTAATCGTAATGATAAGAAAAAAGGAAAGAATACCATGAAAATGACTTTGCAAAAGAACAAGAACAAAATTATGGATTCCGATAACCGTGGGATGGACGATGCGTTGAAAGCAGCAAAGGACGTAAGTCGTGATTTAGGGTAAAGCGACGTGATTGTAAAAGATTTGTTTCAGGGACCTTCTACAAGTTGGAAACACAGTGGTCAGTCGTCAGATACGGCTGGTGCGCACAGAAAATCACATTATTCTAACCGCTCTAACATGGGTAATTACTTGGTTTTGGGGTTAACTCTTTATTTAAGCCTTGTATTATGCACTTTTTTCCAATTTAATCGTACTACACTGTACACCAAGCTCTAGTGCTATGCTTTGAGTCACTTTGGTTGAAGATGTTATCACTTTCGTTTTATCTGCTAATAATAACTCATTGGTTGACTACATACACCCTCTTTGATATTTCTTCAAAGTAAAACTTTTTTCTATTTAGATGGAAGCAGTGAGCATACATCCGATGGAGAAACCGTCGGTCAAGAAGGGTCGACTAAAGCTTTGGTCATACCAGAAAAAGCTAGCTCCTTCAGTATACATCCTGGAAGGATTTGTAAAGACGAATGTTCGTATTGTTTTGGAAAGTTCGGTCTTTTCGACACACCTTGTCATATCGCACAAATGAAGAGTGTCGATAGACAGAATAAAATTTTGTCCGGTATTTTATTCAAACAACAAAGTCGTTATTGTCAGTCTTCAATGTCATTCTTTGTAGCTGAAAAACATTTGACCAGAGATTCGTGTCTTTGTGATGCTTGCTATCGTCATGTTGATCGCAAAGCTAATACGCCTTCATACGTTAATAAATCATACAAAAGAAGTGCTACTGTAGCACCGGGTCCAAGGCAAGACCACTGCCACGTTTTAGGATGTCATAAAATGGCCATAAACATTTTGCGACGGAAATGGATTATTAAAATGAGGAGAAGCATATGCGAAGTGGTAAGTTCTTCATTCACTATTGAGAATGCATACTTAAAAAAAAAAAACTCGTAGATAAACATAGATTTAGATAATCCAGGTCTTCATTCAATTCCCATTTGTGATGAACACTATTCGGCACTTGAATACCTTATGGTGTGTGCAATGTGTAAGAGAAGGTTAGCAAAGAATCACATCCACTATTTGGGACCTGAAACTGTAGATTTGAATTCCGCATTGTCAGCTGAAGGAGTACCCTTGTCGTTGACTGACAAACCAGTCGTGTGTAAATTGTGTAAATATTTTGCAGCGATCATTCTTAAGCCTTTGGAAGATCGTCCTGAAAATAGTTCGACGTTTTTCAGAGAATATAAGAAAAGGTAATGTTGTATAGCAACTTCCAAAAAGTTGTGTATAAACCTTATCTTTGTGTTTTCTTTAGATTGCTGCATTTCAACGATATCGTACCAATGGACGAAGCAGCCGCCGAAGAACCGATAATTATTCCTGCAAAAGATAACAAAATCGAAAAGGAACAAGTGCGGAAGAAGCGGAAACTGTCGAAAACCCAACCCGGAGATGGTGGTTCTGATTCTCAGGTAGAAATAGACAAATCTGACCAAAGTCGTGTGCCTTCAACTGATTCCACTAACCAATCTCGTCCCGAGTCTCCTTCCGATTATATGGTGGATTACAATACCTTAATTCCGTCTATTGCTATGGAGTGTGGTAGCGACAGCGAGTCAAAGAAAGAAAACTCGACCAAACCCGTACAAGCCAAGAAGCTTCCGCGCCCAGAAACCGTGAAACAAGCCGTAGAAATATCAAAGAACATGAAACTAAAAAGTGACAAAAGTAGTGATATAGCTGTGCAAAGACTGGGTTCGAATCCTTCCATATCGGTTAGACAACTGTTTCCTTGCGAAGAAGATCTTCCACTCCAAGGTCATATCGAATTCGGAAATGTAAAAGAGCGCACTCCCGAGGGATGGGAAAAGTGCACTTCCATCATACAGTATGACATGGAAACCAAACATTTATGGCAGGAGTTGCAAAAGCCATATGGAAACCAAAGTAGCTTTTTAAGGCATTTAATTTTATTAGAAAAGTATTTCAGAAATGGCGACCTAGTTCTAGCTCCAAACGCTAGTCACCATTCTATTAATTATAGTGAATCGGTGCATAATAGACTGAGGGCGTATGATAACATACCATCCAATGCGGGTAATGTGCAACCACTGAGTATGTTACCATTCAACAAAGCCCAGAGTTCTCAGAAGAGTAACGGCGCGGTTACGACTAGTACAAACGCGAATCCTAGTGTGGTTAATAAGGAAACACATCCCGCGGTATCGGCGACGGTTAACGCCGCCAACGTACCCAAGAGCACCCCCATCACAATTTCGCAATTGAACAGCCCACCGCTGATACCTCCTCCTGCCTCCACTGTAGCAAAACCCAAACCCGTCGGAGCCCCTCCAGGATTAATATCCCTCCATCCCGGCACGAACAGACCAGTGGCCCCTCTAGTCAAAGTTCCACAGTCCCAAAAAATTAAATTCCCGATCACCAAAAACTGGAGACCTAATCTGATTCCCATTGATCCGAGCAAAAAGAATCCTGAACGAAAAGCGGGTCTGGTTCAGGTGATCTCCGGCGGTAAACCGTACCATATCACTCTAGAGGACTATAAGAAGATGTGTGCTATTAAAAAGAGCTTCGAGTTGAAGCAGAAGAGACTGCAAGAAGCGTCGAACGCCGGGAAACCTGTGAAAGTGTCGTATAACTCAGTGTTAAAGTCGATGGCGCCCAGGAAGGGTTTAGTGATCTCTAAAACGACGACTGCTACGAGTCCGAAGAACGAAGCGAGTGAATCTGAAAATATTTTGGATAAACTAGACAAGCAAGTCGAAAAGTTAGAATCTAGACTCAGTGAGAATAAACCGCCCCTAACTTTACCTAAAATACCTAAATCGTTGACTGTCATACCGCAGACGGTTACCCGAAAACCTTCGCGGCCTTCCAGTCCTGTTTTGTTGATTACTCCAAAACCAAAACAAATTACAAACAAGTCATGATTAATTCTGACGATGTTTCAAAGTGCCTCTGAAATTTGTCTTATATCTTTCATTGTATACAATTATATAGAGATTAGTATATATCTACAGTTTTTGTTTTCCTTTTATTTTATGAAAATTGTTGGCAAAATTTTGTATTTTGCTTTTAATTATTGTTATAAGATTGACACAACTTAGAGGATATTTTTTTAATGAAGAACTTTGTAAATACATACATACTTTAGGATAATAAAACACTCTCAGATCTTTTTGTAAACTTATCATTGACGTATGTGTTCAATTGTTATTATACACGAGTTATTTGTCATTTAAAATTACAGCAATAATTGCCATTATCAACTTCTCGTCTCAGAGTACTTAGAACAAAAGTATTAATTACGATTTTCCCTATTTACATTCTGACCTCTGTTTGTATAAAGTTTTTGTCCAAATGCTCACAATAATCTTACTTTTACATGTTCTACCATCTAATTTATTACTACTTTAGTATTTTTGTATATCCATCTGTTAGATTTTTGAACTTGTTTATTGGAAATACAAAGAATCGTAAACTGTGTTTTACAGAAAATGTAAAAACAGTCAGATTGTGAAAATGAAAAGTCTGAAATATTGTTATTTTTCTGAAACTTGTAAAAAGCCCAAATATTTGAAGTTACTAGTTAATTCATTAATATAATTTTTATTTATGTATATAAAAATGGGCGTTAAATAATTAAATAAATAATTTAATTTATCTGGTGTATTACTACTACAGAAGAAATATTTATCCCTTAATCTAAAATCCAAATCAATCGTATTAGGGAGGTTTCATGACAGTAGGATCGGACTTTGCCGCCTTGTCGCAATAGGAGTTTTAACTACGAAACGGGTTGATTTATGATCCTCACGGACAGCTGAAAGTCTGAGCACTTAAATTCCTTGTAATAAACTTAAAGAATAATCATTTACCCATTTTTTTTTCAGTATAACTATAATTTGACACGTTGGAATATATTCCATTCAACTTTTACGACGTACGTAATGTGGACTTTTTTCTACTTCTGTTTAATAATATTCCATTCTAAAGTTTTGCGTAAATTTTTATTTGGAAATAGTATTACATTCACAATTACAGCCATTAATTTCTCAGATGATTTGCTTCACTCGCCTACGGCTCTTTTCGCAAACGTCATCATCGTGAACAATGACCATCATAATTTGTGTTTTCGTTTGGGTAGCAGAAATTTCAAATAAAATTTCTATAACTGCCTCGCCTATGTTTTGTGTTTTAATTTGCACTTCCAAGATCTTTTTCCATATTAGGTTTGTATTATTGGAAGTTCAATAGAATTTTTTTTGTAACATTTGTTAACTGAGATACTGCTGTATAGTACATATAACTAAAAAAAATAGGGAAGGTGTGACAAAGTGAAACCTAAGAACGTAAAATACTATACTTTTTTAATAAAATCGAATACTGATGATTTGCTATGATTCACATATGCAGCTTATAGGATATTTTCGGTTAAGACAGTTATATACAAAGGGAGAAAAAAACACACATAAAAGAAAGAAAAATTGATACTTTGTTTCCCGATCTACAAAATCCACACAAATATCAATAAATTAACGATGCGGAACTAAAGGAAAATCATTGCAGAAATTTACTGTGATAAATTTAAAATTACTGTTGCATTTGAGTTTACGTTACAGATGTGAGCAAACATACTATAGTTTTGTCCACCATCATAACGCAGCAGAAAATATCAGCTAACTTGATTACAAACCAAAACACTTTATAGAGACGTTAATTTCAACGAAATTACAAACAATGTTACGTAAAGAATTAATTTTAGCCACAGACTACCTAATACGATTGTTTTGACCTCTTATTAGCATTTCATTAAACTCATTATTGGATTATTGAGACATGTCTGCTCAAAAATGGTTCCAACGATTTTGAAACTATGATGCAACCTTTTGTTGGTGATTAATTTCTTGCGTATCAAGACATTTTTATCAGCAGCAATTCCGCATCATTACAAATACGCATATCAGTTCGTTAAGACAAAAATGGTTAGTTCTTATCTTTTATTAATATTTATAATTGACGATGATAAGTCAGACTTCAGTACGCTAATAGAAATTCACAGCATCGCAGCAGATTTTATCCTCAAGGGTAAAACCAAATGGTATGGACTTTATTGCAAGTACCACAGGTGGGTGTATGTAAAACTTAGTGCAAATCATTATATTAATACAAGAATGGCGAAAAAAGAGGCTGGTATTTTTCAGTAAAAATAATCTTGATAATTACTAATTACTAGTTATAAATTTTTTACATTTTTGTTTAAGAAATGTTAAGTAAACTTGTATCATCCGTGACAAGAAAAACTTTAAACGATTGAACTATTGAACCAACACGTATCAGAGAATTACATAATAGAACTTAAAATTTATTCTCTTTAGAAAACGTGTTTCAATAAATTACTAGACACATTTTTAGTACAAATACGCCTGGTGGGCCATGAAATTTATTTTTAAAATTATTATGTTGTCATTACAGCCATTTAACACTTTATTTGACAGCAGTGTTGCCAGAGTTAAATGGTAAAATTCCGCTAAAGGCTGCTTTTGGAGCTGAAAATTGTCATTTATAAACTCAAATTGCCGTCGATAATAACTTTGATGTTCAACTTTTGCCGTATTTAAAGGGGTTGTAGAAAAAAAGTAGTGGATTTAAGTTCATTACTGCAAAAATTTAGCATTTTAGACATGTTTTAAGTTTCTTGTTGTCGAAATAAGTCTACACGTCTTAAGAAAAAAATGCATAATGTAGCCCCGCCCACCCACCCTATCTCAATTGTAACTGCAAAATCCATATTTCTATACGAGAAATTAAAAAGATATTTTTGAGTATTCTATTATTCAAGGAATACTAAGTATATTAAGAAAAAATTAAAGCCAAAGATTAAGCCCCACCCATACCTGCCCCGATCTAACGAGTAATGAAGTTTTCATTCGTTTTCAGACCTAGGGGCGGAGCCTAATTGCAAAATCCATATTTCTCTACAAAATTTTACCATTGTAAACGTATTTTAAGTTTGTAAGAATAAAAGAAATCATCACAAATGAGATGGGGTGGGTGGGCGGGGTTTTATATTTTGCCTTTTTTTCTAAATAACTAGACCTAGGGGCCAATTCCAAGTTGGCGGCGCAAGTCACTGGTGCAGCGCAACTTTATAATGCTAATTTGGGTATCAAATACTGGTTGCTAGGGGTGACGGAATCAACAAATGCAGTTGTGTCGAATTTTCCATTGAAATTTGCACCATGGAGTTGCGGCACCTCTAGTAGGCAGTGCAAGTTGGCGCAATTTATCTCGAAAAATTGCGTTTGTTTATTCCGTCACCCCTAGCAACCAGCATTTGATACCCAAATTAGCATTATAAAGTTGCGCTGCACCAGTGACTTGCGCCACCAACTTGGAATTGGCCCCCTAGTATTCTTTGAACACAATACTCAAAAACATATTTTTAATTTCTTATAAAGAAATAAGAATTTTCCAGTTAAGCTTTCCCCCTTGGTTCACGGCGAATAAAAAAAAATCATCACGAATGAGATGGGGTGGGTGGGCGGGCTTTTATATTTGCCTTTTGTTCTTACTACACATAGTATTCTTTGAACAGCACGATATTCAAATACATGTTTTTAATTTTTTATAAAAAAAATAGAATTTTGCAGTTAAACTCCGCCCCCTGGTTCACGGCGAATAAAAAATCATCACAATTGAGATAGCGCGTTTTTTTTGTTTTAATATGTGTACACTTCTTTTCACAACATGAAACTTAAAACATGTTTAAAATTAGGCTCCGCCTCATTATTGCAATATCCATATTTTCTTGCAAAAATGTGCTACTTTAATCATGTTTTAAGTTTCTTGTAAAAAGATGGCTATGATATTAAGAAAAAAAGGCAAAATATGGACCCCGCCCACCCACCCTATCTCAATTCTGATGATTTATTTTATTCGTCGTAAGCCGAGGGGTGGAGGTTAATTGTAAAATCCTTATTTTTCTACGAGAAATTACCATGTGAAATATGTTCTTAAGTAATCGTGTTATACAAAGAAAACTAAATGTATTACTTAAAAAAGAAAACCAAAAGAAAATGTGATGAATTTTTCATTCGTTGTCAGACCGACGGGCGGAGTGTAATTGCAAAATCGATATTTCCATATACAAATTTACCATTTTAAACATGTTTTAAGTTTTTTGTGGAGAAAAGATGACTACACATATTAAGAAAAAAAGGCAAAATGTAGCCCCGCCCACCCGCCCTATCCTAATTGTGATGATTTTTTTATTTGTCGTGAGTCAAGGAGGCGGAGCTTAACTGCAAAATTCGTATTTCTCTACAAGAAATAAAAAACATGTTTTTGAGTATCGTGTTTGTGTGATTGATCAGGGAACAGTTGATGGGTTGATGGTTAAAGATTTCGAAGTTTACACACCGTTATTTAAAATAACATTTTTGATAACCACAATAATGTGCCAAAGTGCACAAAAAATTCACTCGAATTTTCTAATTTTCAAGTCTCAGAAAAATTCCGCTACGTCTGGCAACACTGTTTGGCAGTTATTGTTGCCAACATAATTTTGTTAACATATGTATCAAAGTCCCTATATTAGTATATAGTAATATCACTGGTAATATAGGGACTTTGATATGTATTAAATTTCAAATTTGAAGGTTGCTGTATAGACAATTCTTTTATTCGAACATATGGTATCACATATTACATAAATATCGACAATCAATATATTCTTCTCCACCAAAAAGTCAATCATGTCAAAAATCTTAAAAACATCTTTATGAACAATTCATCCTTATTGTTTACAATTTGTTCAACGAAAGACACAGTATAATAAGACAGTTTTTTCATTACGATAGAGATTAAGAAAAATATATTTTCCTCAATTTTTGAACAAGTTAAGAACTTTTTTTATTACAAAAAAAAATGTAAATTGTATCCAGGGGAATTTTACCTACTAGCAATGAAGTATGACAATAAATTAGATACACATTCAAATGTCATTTTAAAAATTTGTTTTAAATAATACACAAACGCGTACTAAATATTTTTTTCTTAAATTTCTGAAAATAAATAGTTGCGGACTTTCTCGAATATCTAATTCAAAAATAAACTTTGATTGCACAAACTTTTTTTAGAACAAGTCCTGCACCTACAGTTAAAAATAGGAATATAGATAGACCACGAGCAAAGAACCGAAGTTTTCAGATGGCATCATCTATTTTTTTCAAGTGATGAATAGACAGATTTTGGACTATCTTGACAAATAATGAATAAGGTCGGGCTTTTTAACGACTACAAAATCCCATTATAATTGGTATAGTATCTCAACAAAAACAAACTTTTATGATTTTGACTTTTCCAAGCCCCTCGTTATCAAACAAAGAACATCTTGAACTAACAACGCTAAATATGTCATAAATTTCCATCCAATAGCGGTACATTATTCGTTGACAAAGGTGGTGGAGGAGCCAAAGTCGTAAAACATCTGTTCTAGTTGGAGCACTATGTACAAATAGGGAGTGTTTATTTTGGCATGTAGCCACTCTGAAATACAGTCGAACCAGAAAATGTTGAAAATCTTTATAGGATGAATGCGCTTTTCACGATTTTCCGATTTTCTTAAATTAGTGGCAGGTAAAATATGTATAATAACAAAAATAAGACTGATGACGATTTGAAATGAAAACATTTAAATGAAATCGTTATAGTTATATTAAATTCTCTTTTTCCCCTTAGGAGAGGGAGAGAAAAAAAAACGGTGATAATCACACCGCGATAAATAAAATCCTCTGAACGGCCCTGTTCGCCTCTTTTTCTGAGTGCATAGTTGAAGCCGGCCCTGCATTTACATCAAACAATAATTGTCTGTTCTGGTGCACGTTCCTGAATATTCAGTGTAGGTGCAGCAGCTCACGTAGTCAAAATCCTACCGAAGAACCAAGAAGTCGTTCTCACAAAGCCACAAAACAAATCAAATAAAATGTGACGCAGGCGGTAACCACCCATACGGTCAAAAACCGCTACGACAACAGCAGACATTCAGAAATAGAATTCGGTTAGTTCTGGAATGATTTCTCCCTCGCGAGTACAAAAATAAAGTTCACATTCATTGTAAAAGAACTTGTGTCCTTGAGTTCAGTGCTACAATACATTCGTGCGTTGGTATTGGTTAGTGCACTTTCTCTTGAATTAATCAACTGTCAAAAACTTCAAGTGTCAAGTCATGTGTAAGTAGTTTAACAAAAAATGTGTATCATGTCTAGGAAAACCCCAATCTGGTAAGGTTCGCTAGTCCTTATTTTTGCAAATCTGTGGTTGTTTTGATCATGCTGTTCGTTAATCTTTGAAACTTGAAAGAATAATAAAATGCGACTCATTTTGGAGATCAACACGTCAACATATTTTTGTAGCATGTAAACACAATCAGAGTTTATTTTTGTTAAACACGATCGAGAAAGATTTTACGAGGATATCATACCCGAGAAAACTCTTTCCTCTTTGTTTCGAAAGTATGTAAATTTCACGTGTTGTGTACATTTAAGTTTGAGTGTATGCTTTGTTGAAGGTTGTTTGCAAAAACGTGCACGCACTAATTTTGTTAGCAATTTTTGCATTCCAACTATCGAATTCCATTTTTTTAACCATTGTAACCTCAAATTTTTCTGTCATCAAATGTAACCCAAATTAATTGTTTTAGTGACGCAAATAAATACAACACTACTTGGATATAACCGAATGAAAAGAATCCTGCCACCTCAAGTAGAGGGTAATAGAAGTAAAATGTCTTCCGCCTTTTTGCACTCGCTGTCTAACGTACCGGATAAGTTAGTATCCTTGAGTTTGTCGATTTCACCGAACGACGATCCAAAACTTGAAAGCGTCCGCCTGCTGGACGACCAAGAACAACTCTTAATCAAGTCGGAAGAAGACTTTACAAAACTTCTAAAAATAGACCCTAGTCACAAAATTAAAGTTGTATCCATATTTGGAAACACAGGAGAAGGTAAATCCCACACTTTGAACCACACATTTTTCGAAGGAAAAGAAATATTTAAAACGTCACAATACCAATATTCCTGTACCATTGGAGTGTGGGCAAAGTATGACGCAACTCTCAAGACGATATGTATAGACACTGAAGGCTTCTTAGGTATAACAAAAAAAGAGCATCAACGAACCCGGCTCTTATTAAAGATTCTTGCCATTTCTGATGTCATCATTTATCGCACAAGGTCAGAGCGTTTACCACGTGACATGTACACATTTTTGGGGGGCGCTTCCAGATCGTACAAAGAGCATTTCAGCCCCGCTTTGCAGAATTTTTTACAGAAATATGAAATCGACAAGAACTTTCTGTCGTGGGGGCCGAGCGTTATCGTTTTTCACGAAACTAGATACACTTGTACTCTGAACAGTATTGCTGACGTTAAAACGTCACCAGAAGATCTTTTAAGAGAAAATTTTTCTAAACTTGATGAGAGTTTTGATGGATTCAGCTCTCTAAAGTATATTGGAGTGGCAAATGGTGGCGGTAAAGAATCGTTTGCGCAGTTGCGTGTTGCGGTGGAAAAAGAGTTGGAGTCTACCCAAGTGAGATCACCAAGAAGCCCAAAGTATGTGTACCACACACTCAAGGTAGGTTAAAAATTACAAATGGGATTAATAAGAGTGGAGCAGTTAGCATGTAGCGATTTAGACATACAGGGTGTTTCTTTTATTTAGTACAACCTCTGTAACTTTTTTAGTCTTAAAGATAAACCTGTAGTTCTTTGAGCAATTTGTATCATTTTAAAAGGTCTATGTGATGGCGATCTCACATTTTTATTATCGCTTCCGGTAGAACCGGAAATTATGTCAACTTTTTTTTTTTTTTTAGATATATTTTTTCATAAACGGATAGGTTGTTTTTTTCTAAGAAATCAAAAGCAATCAATATTCTAAAATTAATGCTTAAAAAGTTATTCAATAAAATGGACGAAAAATCCATATTTATTGATGACAATCTAGTAGCTTGAAAAATTGACACTCAGTCATTTATTCACATAAGTGATGGTTTAAAATGATACAAATTTGCTGAAAGAACTGTACCGGATGTCGAAAAATGGCGAATTAACTCTTCAGTACCGTATGTACGGGGGTTTCGGGAGTCCCAAAAAAACGTATTTTTTTTAAAGTAAAATTGGCAACACTTCACGCACTTAATGCGTGATTATTTTCTGATTTTTTAGTAACGGTGGTGACCGAAATCCACCTTTTCTTTTTACTTCCCGAGCATAAGCTAAGGAAGTATTGTAAACGAGTCCGTCGGCCGACTCTCCACTTTTACATTTTCTCGACTTTTCATGACCCTTACAATACGAAGAAATATATCTCCCGTTTCCGTCTATCTGTCTGTCTGCCGTCCCGGATTTTTATTAGACAGATAATCTCCGAAAGTACTGGGCCGATTGTAAAATTTTGTATTTAAATATATTAGGAATACCATGTAGATGCTAAAACTAACTAACTAAAATTTGTCCAATCATCCCCACCAATAATGTGATGTCGTCACTTCAAAATTGTACATAGTAAATGGGTTTGAAATTGTATAAAATAACATAGTTCTACACATGTAGTTTATGACTCCATGTTGAGTTTATACCCGAAACGTCCAGATTTTTAAAAAAAATAATCAAAATTATAAAACAACATTTTACAATTTAATTTCGAATTTGCATAACCAAATGCTTTGATATCTTGCAAATATTTTAAAGTTACGATAAGTATAATAAATGTTTATTCAAAATATATTTGCTTATCCCCTCCAAAAAATTGATGACGTCAGCTCAAAATTTTGTTGAATAAATCCTATCTTAAATGTACAAAATACGATCAGTCCATTCTTGTAATTTATCAGTGCATTCATATTTTTTAGATTTTCTTTTACAGAGTGACTCAAAAAATTAACTTGTACTATCTTGCTATTATCTAGGTATATTTTTGGACAAAAAACCGAGTACGCTTACTTAATTAATTGGTCCTCTCTTCTGTATTGAAGAGACAAAATCAATCAACTGTCAGTTTTTTTTAATACATATGGTCGAATTCTTTCTAAGCATAAACATAAACACAACAGTTAAAGTTAAACAAGGAATATGAATTAAGAATACATTGTTTCCCACTGAGTATCTGCTTTAAATATATTTCATCTTGTCCGCACTTGTTCAGACCGTGCCCCCTTGGAATTTGCACCCTCAAGGCGCAGGAATTGAGGGGGTGTTATTTACCCTTCTGGAGCGAGGGAAGTTCTATCTAAATGACTTTCGACCAATTTCTTTTAGGACAATAACCGTAACAACCAGTAGTCATTAATCGTTGTGTATTATTATAAATCAAACAAGCTGTTATTTTTCTTTTATAAATTATAAACAAAAACAAAACCAACAAAAGAAAAATTCATTAAAGCATAACCAACTAAACACTAGAGAACATGTTCCAAATTCCTGCCTTGTGCATATAGGTAAGCTCGTAATGTTTCCAAATTTTAATCATTTTTTTGCTAAGATAAAACTGATTTTGGTAAATGACATACCTTCTAAGAAAAGAGAGGGTGGGTGGGCGGGGCTATTACCTACTAAGATAAGAGTGATTTTGGCAAATGAGATTCCTCTAAGAAAATAGAGGGGGGGGTTAGTATCTGCTAAATAAGATCGATTTTGGCAAATGATATATGTACCTTCCAAGAAAAGAGAGGGTGGGTGGGCGGGGCTAATACCTGCTGAGGTAAAACTGATTTTGGCAAATGAGATACCCTCTAAGAAAAGAGAGGGAGGGTGGGTGGGGCTAGTACCTGTTAAGATAAGACCGATTTTGGCAAATGACGTATCCTCGAAGAAATTTAATCAATATAAGAAAAGACACTAGAAGCTCCAAAGCACTTCCACAAATTTCAAAGATTGTTTTAAATTTTTCAAAAAAAAGAACGGTCCCAAAATTAACTTAAGAACAGGTTGATCAGAATTTTCCAAAAATAGAACACCAAAGTCACCTAAAATTGTTTTAAATAATTTACAAAAAAATTTCCATGGGCTCTCAAATTAATAGATCATGGGCACCCAAAAGTCTCCCGAATTGAATTAACTTCAACAATTACTTTTTGCACTTTGAAAAATTTGATGAAGACACAATTTTAGATATTTGCAAAGTGTTTAATTTGTTGTATGGGTACAAAGGGTCAAGAAAAAATGTGTTAGAATGAAAAAGACAGTGAGTGATTTATTTTAATAACGCATTTGTTATATATTCACATCAGTAAATAAAATAAAACAAATCAATATATACTTCATGCAAGAAGATTGTATTCATAATTTAAATTCAATAATAACTGATATTCAAAATTTTCGTCAGCTAAGGCATGACGTTTTGTCTCAAAAACATCCGCGCGAATACTAAACATCATTTCCACTGCGGCGCTAGATGGAATTGTTGTGTTATATTTTATAAACGTCTCCAAAACATGGAACACTTAGATTCAGTAGATCTAATTATTGTCTTCTTTTATTTTTTAAAAAATTGTCAAAATGTGTTTTATCAAATCTTTATCTGAGGGAGTTTGATTATCTAAAGGAAATTTGAAATTTTTTTCTAAATCTACAAATAAGTCGCATCGACTAATTTTTACACCTAATTGTTCTTCTAAGGCTATAATGGCATCGGTTTCGTGATCTTTACTCTTTACCTTTCATAATAGCTGGAGTATTTATTTGTCGCGTCTTATATACCATCGAACTAACAGTTTTTTGACAACTAGTATAGGGCAACATGTTGCATATTTTACCAAAAATTGATGCCGATTCTTTTGCGCCTTTTCATTTCACTCTAGCTACAACTAAAAGTTCGTTGCCAACTCCAACAACTTTTAAACAAAAATTTGCGTTGGCTGCGTGTAAATGTATCGTAAATATTAGTCCACCGATAATTACCTGCAGGTGCAGACGCAAATTTTGTAATCTTTAATAAAAAGGATGTTCCTAAATACTTAGAAGGGGGCTACAAGATAATGTAAAATTAAAAATCTGTCTTTAATTGCCTCTTATTTGGCGTTGTGACTTACAGATTAAATTTAAGAAACCTTAGAGGGTGGACACTCTCATAAAATGTTATTGTTGGATTTTGAGGGTTTAAAAGGACGGTCTCTATCGGTTACCTGTTGTACATTTGAGTGGACCAGCAAAATGGTTAAAGTTTGTTTGACCACAAATTTGAAATATTCTGCCCCTGTTATCCCAATTATTTATTAAGATATTTTATTTCTGTAAAGCGCAATTGATTTTTTAATACAATTTCTACTAATATGCCCTTTTGAAAATTTAAAATTGATCCATAAATAGAGAAAACCAGATAATCTCATAGTCATCATAATTTTAACGCGTTGTAGGTTTTTTTTTTTGACAACAAAATTTAGAAATCGGAAAAACAGTCTGGGTAGGAATTTTTACGCTCATTTCAACGGTGTGAAGTTTATTACAATCGGACGTATACTTTTGGCAAAAACTTGGGTAGAAGTTTATATGTATTGCCCTATGCTGGAAGCTCACCCTTAAAATGATGAAGAGCTTATGTATATTATGGTTATTTGGTTTCTTAACAAATTCTGTGCCAAGCTCGTTTAGATTTTAACTCCTTATTGGCTTAATCTTCTCTTATTCGATTCTTAGTTAGAAAAACAAAACAATATTTTTGAATATTTGGGTTAAAAGTAATTCAGAAGTAATTGTAAAAGTGACTGAATTACTTGTAATTGAATTACTTCCAACCACTGATTACTAGTTATTGTGATAATGAATGTGTTATTTAGTTGTTAAACGTAGCAAAAGAACCAATTTTAAAATCATTATAACTCCACCAAAATGTAATAAAGAATTGTTTTACTATTTTTCCCAGATTCACCATTTGATTGTTAAGAGCGTAGCGGAGAGTTAATCCGCCATTTTCCAGACACCCGGTATGTTTATCTTTAAAAATAAAAAAGTTACAGAGGTTGTATCAAATAAAAAAACATTTGGTGTAGTAGACATAATTTTGTAGTTATTTTTTGAAAATGAAGATGTTCAATCATTTTTTACAGTTTGTTACTTTATTTAATAAAACATGAGACGTGATAGAAACTAGAGTACTTATATAGTGTAATAAAAAATAACAACTAAGCAAACCTAGTGAACCACGGTCACTACAAATTGCACTACATATGATATATAGGAACCCTAGTCGGTTTAGCGGAAATTTTCAGTAAGTAGGCAGTAGTCCACTTAAAGTTCTAGATTGTAGCTATAGTGCAAGCGCCTTAAGTAACACTATCCTAAATAGTAAAATAAGAAAATAGGTACTGAGTTCAAGAAAAAAAAGTAATTTTTGATTTATCGTTGTTTTAATTCTTGCATTCAGTCTTAACGTGAAAATGAAAAAACACTTTTTTCAGAAGGATTTTTATACAGAATGTTTATAAAGGGCGGCCATTAAAGTGAGCACTGACTTTTGCCGCCTTATCGAAATAGGAATTATGATTGCATTGAATGTTAAATGCCGTTCTAATGACATATCTAGACTTGTAAACACGTGCTATGCACCTGGAATTTTTAACAATGTTAGTTCTCATTTAACATCGAAACCATTGTTTTTTGTACATGTTGTTACTAAATTCGAGTTTAATTTATTACTAACAGGAGATTAATGAAAAATTCCAAAGTCAAATAAGCGAGGCCAATCCACAGTTGTACCTTTCTGCTTTCTTCACGTGTCAAGACAAATGCCTATCGTGTGGAGCAGGTTGTAATTTATCCATGGGTCACAAAGACGATGACGAGCCTCATTCCAGTACAAGTAAATGTAAACTTCAACATCAGTACCAAAACTTCGTTTACGTTTGCAAAGTAGACACTCCACGCTTGCTCTAGTCACTATTCTAAACCGTAAAATTGTAGAAATGTTGTGAAAATGGGACAAGGCAGATAGTAGAACCGAGTTATCAGGCGAAAAATGAGCAATTTTGGAGTAGTATTATCTCGACAGTGTGGTCAGGTTACATTATAGAATGTCCCACATGTGGAAAAATCTACCAAAGTCGGGAGTATTGGTACGGAAATAAAGACCCGAAAGACGAAGCCGTTTTGGTTGAGATTGTACACGTGTGGCCAGGGGTAAGTTAAATGCAACAACAAAGGCTTAACAGAACATTGGCCTGTGAACATTTCCGAGGACGTACTAATTGAGGCTAAGATGTTCTTTTGAGCCTTTGTTGTGGTTGGGGGAATCAAGCACATTGACTCATCTTTGAGAAAGGATAAACGCCATTTTCAGCACAAGTCGCTCCTAGGGTCACAAAACTCGGCCCAAAAAGTGCTTGATGGTGTCACTAGCATTAGTAACGTTGTAGCCAGTGTTGGATCGCAACCCACAAAGATGATCAGCGATTGGGTGACAGATCAAATTGCGCCTAGCTATTGGATACCAAACAACGAAATCCAAGTAATATTTTTTAGTGTTTTTAAAACTGAAAAAAAACTTGTCAATATTGTATTACAGGTGTGCGCTAAATGTAAAACCGGTTTCGAATCCAACGCTACCAAACATCATTGTAGAGCTTGCGGACAAGGATTTTGCGAAGCTTGTTCATCAAAAACACAAGCAGTGCCTGCGAGAGGGTGGTATGAAGACGTGAGAGTGTGTGATGGTTGTTACAGAGAAGAACCTCCCAGTATGAACCACGTGGCTGACGGCACCGAACTCAGAAGCAGAAGAATTGGCGAAAGCGTAATTAATTCAATATCAGTCGTTAAATCAATTCTCGATAAACCTAAAGAACTTATTAAAGAAACAGCAAGGCCTGCGTATTGGACGCCCGATAATGAATGCAAAAATTGTACAGGATGTGATAAACCATTTGGCGCACTTTTAGGACTACACCATTGTCGAGATTGTGGTAAAGGGGTTTGTGATAAATGTTCCACTACACGAAAACCTGTGCCACTTAGGGGGTGGGAAACACCCGTAAGAGTTTGTGATAAATGTTCAAGTTAAATGACTTGCTCAAGAAACATTTGTTACAAGTCTGACAGAGACACACATTCAGTAGCTTTCGATAAAGCATTTACAGTTATAGGTTTGTACTTTTAATAAACATCGGTGTGAACGTCCTCGTGTGGTATTTTTTATTTTATAGGGTTATGGAGATTATTATATAAATACTTAGAATTATGCTTTCATGTTTTTTTAGTTTTTTAGTTTTGTTTTTAAATTTTCGTTGTGCAATGAACATGGACGGAAAGAAATAGACAAAGTTTACTTTGAAGTGAATGACGTTTATTACCATGTTTACTTCATTTATCACTGGCTTGGTTTCAATTTTTCGATTTCAGTACTGTATCCTATAGAATAATTAACAAGTAATGTGTGCTTCGTTTTAACAAAAAATTCTGTTGAACTGTGTATAGCATAGTATGTTTTGCAAGTTCTCAAGCAATTGTACAGACTTGAATCTTGCACTGAAATGTACATACATCATACTTTTTTATTAAGTACTGGTTTTTTTTGAGTTAGCTTAGTATTTTTAAAATGTACATTCCAAATTTTCTTATTAAGCACTGGGCAAAGGCGAATAATTCTGGTATTAGTGCATTTATAAATTTTATGTATTTTTCTTTGTAGGTGCTTAACCACATCTGGTTAAGACTAAATCTTCGTTTCAGTGATATTGGTTTTGATTGAATTGTGATACATGTAAATATGATTTGGTTGTATGTACATAATAAAACTGTTCACTATTGAATATGATTGCATCTGTTGTTTTATTATTCATACCTACGAAATTCATATTTTTAAACGGGCAAAATGAAGAATAAAAACTAGTGACGAAGTGATATTTTTGCGAAACTAATAGAATGGTGTTTTATTTGTCGCTACATTTATATTTACCGCTCATAGGAAATAGCAGTGTAGCCAATAGTACTGTCAAATTGTAGTTATATTTGGACGTCCTACCATTTTCTTTGAAAAACAAAAACCTAAAGTGACGACATACATCGACAAATCATACAATAATTTATAAAGACGCAATTGTCTTCAAATTAAAATAAAACTTTAATTTGTTGATTTAGTTGCAAACCCAAAAGTCACTAGACATTCCAATATTTTAATCCAGTGCGAATATAAAACAGTTCGTGTTAAAACTGGCTTTGATTTTCTTCACTATATCAAAAATATTAAAAATTTGATGAAATTTCCCATCCCGTACGGCTCGAGTTTGGTAAATTCTGTCCAAATGATGTCGTGGCGGGAAAAAATTGAATTTGAAAGATTGTGAAGAATCATGGCTACAAACAAATCAGTGAGATCATATGTTTGGGTGGCATAAAATGGTGTGCTCTTGAACCGATTGTGAAAAGTGACATAGTTTTTTAAGATTTTTAGTGATAAGGTAAAAACATAAATTAGAATTTATCTCATTTTTAAATTGCATGAATCTCTTCTTCTTGGTTTCTTTAATTTTTAGCCTCTGTTAGTTGAGATATACAAAGAATAATAGAAAATGCTTTCTCACATTCACGTTGTTGTATATTTGTAATGGCCGAAATTTGACCTATATTATTTAAATTAATCTGTTGCTTACACCATGTGATTTTATTTAGTGTTGTCTTTAGCTTCGCTAACCATTAAACGTGCCGCAGTTTGAGTTTGCACTATAATTTGAAAACATGTTCAAATGGATTGAAATTGGGTTAGGAAATTCCATGTCCACGTATTGTACTTTTTTACTTCTAAATTTGGACAACAGTACAATGTGGTGTCAAGAAAGAACTATCATAAAACGTCGGTAGAAATAAATTTCCATTGTAGGATGAAACTGGCGTGGTACATTCACGTCGTTGCATACCTCAGTAAATCTGTGCCCAAACAATAAAATATTTTAATGTAAAATGTGCCCTTTGGTTACTGCTCGACATTCATGGACAGAATTTATAGTCGGAATTCGCAGGCTTCATTATGGCGTGGTTTTAGTCTTTTTGACGATAAGCAATAGTTGTTAATTTCGATTTCATAACATGTTTATCTGCATTGTGAAAATTATGTTGGCAACCATGTTATTTACGCAAATAAAATATTTTTTTTCCATTAACCACAAAATAAATTCAAGTATAACTTTCCTTTCATTGATACAAAATGATAAAGTCGTGGTAGGCCCAATTAACTTTTACGTAACGAATTTTATGCATGCTTAGTTGTATTTTCAAAGGTAAACTTCATTACGTCAGCTTCTCATGGGTTGCCATAGCAACGGTGACGCTGTGGGTCGTCGCGTTAATCCCCGACGTACGTCTCGCGTTGGCCTGGTGTGTCTGTGAGACACGACTATCCGAGGCATTGCGGGGGTCCGGGATGCATTTAGAACGGGGTAACTATGACAACCTTGGTTTTCGTAGCTAAACTGTAAAGAGATGTGCATGTGATGTCTGTTCGAGTAAATCCAAGACATATTCGGGTGTTAACTCCTGAAATTTTGCCCTGAAAATGTAAGATGTTGGCGAAATTTGTCGGCTTCTCCGTATTGATGAAATCCTATTAAAATGTTTCACATTGAACCTCCGGCATCGTCTTGCTGTGATAAAAAGCTTTTCTGCTTATCAGTGATTTTACTTTATCTTTTTTTTACGTAAGTGTTGGCGAATGTGTAAATTTGGATCGATATCATTTATTTTGCTTGGTGTTTCGATGTTAGCGAACCCGAAAGTGTGGTTGTTTTTATTCGATGTGAAATTTTATGTATGCGCTTTTTCTTTATGTTATTCCATGTTTTGCTAGTTTTACGTTCAAAGTATGCGGTTAAATAGATGACACCTATAATTAAATGTGAATAGTTACCTCAAGGTTGAGGTATGATCTAAACAATGAATTTTTTCTCCTACTAATATCGTACTTAAATAATTAAATATTACAGCATTCATAAGTTGATAGAGAATATATTTATAGCATTTTATGTGTACTATTATCTTTTGCTTTTAAGTTGATTTCAAAGATTATCTGATTAGAGAAATTTTTTCATGAATGGCATTTTTATTTACATACTGGTTGTTTATTATCTAGAGTGCTAGAATCGGATGTCTTAGATTAATAATGCAATATTTTGACATGCATGTCTTTTACGTGTTTAGGTTTCATAAACGTCACTGTGTCAAAATAAATCTACGTACTAATAGATTTAAATAGTATGTGTACAGTATGCCAAAAAAGTGTCGTCTTGTCAAGTGCCACTGTAGTAGATTTTCATTTCATATTGCACCATGCTTCTTCAATAAAAATGTATGCACTGAAAAAAAAGTTCACTTGGCCACGTTTTTGACAAGACGACACAAGTTTTTTAGCATCGTGTACACTCTGGAACAAATTACAGGCACCCTGCCAACAAAAATAAAGAAATTAAGAAACAATTTGCTGTCATCAGCTTACCAGAATGTATATTGTAATGAACATAGCCTGACCTTGTGCCTTTACGACAGAAAAAAAAACTGAAGATCCTAATTTTTGTAATTTAGAATATAGAATATTTAAAAAATTTGAAACACATGGAATTGGTGTTTCATATAATGTAGTGAACCAAAGAAGCAACGAGGTATCAAGACGGATATCATTTAAGAAGTAGAAAAATAACAGTTTTTACATCGGCTGATTTAATGGCACGCAATGCGTGCCATCGTAAGAAAACGTGAACTAAATTATGGTAAATTATAATGTTTGTGACGTCCAAGGCACCCAATTCCGTTACATTGTACTTTAACTGTAAACAACCAAATGTTGCTTCTCGTAATCAATAAAATACACGTAATTATGGAGTCTTTTGAAATTTTTTTGTTTCAAATAATATGATTTTACGCCAACTTTAACATCACCTAATTCAGATGAATAAATGCGTGATGCCATTGTACCGGTGGTTAATTTTTTGTTTATTTCTGTGACATCACAATAATACATAAACTAAAAATTGCAGTGTTTGGTTCATAACACGTCTGACTTTCTCATTCTTAAATGTTAATAACGATTAACCTAGTTAGTTTTCTTTCTTGAAAGTAACACTTATTTTGCAGTGTTGAAAAAAAAAAAATAATTATAGCATCATCTCATTTATTGCGGTTGAATCTTAGCGCAAGGAGTGGATTGGAGCTTATACTCTACCCGTAATAATGTTAAGTGATCGTTCGTCACATGAGCAAGGCAATGTAAAATTATTTTTCAAAAATGTTTGCAACTTGTCAAAACTAATTTACGATATTGTAACAAGATTACATTTAAAAATAAGAAGTCAGAGACCTCACCTTGAAGTGGTTGTTATAAAGTGTGCTTAAAAATTTGCGCACTGACTACATCTCGTTGGCACAGCCAATGATCTAATAACTAATGGATGGAGTGTTGAGGCGCGTAATACCTCTCGCATGCGGTGACAACTAGAGAGAGAAATAAACATATCTACAGTGAGTGTTGTTAGACAAGGCCAACACGTATCGGTAGGCAAGAACGAGCTTCGGTGCCGTTGAGTTAAATAGAAGATCATGTAAAAATGATTTTAAAATTCAACTTTGTTATCGTTTTTTTTTATTTTGTAGGAAACTGTATATACATACAATACAAAATGTATATAAACACACAATTTATTGAACAAAATTAATTTTGTGTATACCTGTCTGATTTTATTAGGAACTTGATTATTTCTGCTGTTTTCATAATTCGATCTCATAATAAAAAAAGTACGTAAAATTACATAAACCAACTGGATTACATGCTTGTTAAGTGGATCTTGATCCAAAATGTGGTCATTTAAGACATTAAACATATTTCTGAAATTTAGTAATCTAATGGTTTTAATTGTACGAATAGTAATAACATTGGCTGAAATATTATATTTCATAGTTCTGAAAGTGGTTTCAGCTATCTTACAAACTTTGACGACATCAACTGATGGCTTTGTAAGTCCACCTCTATTTTTCTAAATTTAGCAGTGCCGAAAAGGTCTCATTATTAGTCAGTTTTTTAGGCCTTGTTTCATTTTTTTTATGGTTTGAAAAATTGAAAATGAATGGAACTGCGTCCTTTTTTAAAATTCTCAGTTGTTGTATGGGATTAACAGAATTTGTTAACTGCCGAAAATTCTCATTTTTAAAATGTTTGCTACACACTCTTGACGCAGACGTCCGAACAAATTTATCTCGTTTAAGTGCAATAATCCATTGCTTTCTTAGCAACAGATTTGTCGGAAAACTGAAATTAAATGAAATAAAGATTGTATGAAAACATTATTCAGCAGATATCTCACCGATGAAATGAAATATTACAGCCTTTGTGATGCCGCTCCTCGCATCCAAATGCACAACAAGATATAACCATCGTAAATATGATTGTTATTATTGCGATTGTAAGAAAACAAGCACTTTAGAACTGCACAGAAATGCCACACACACCAGGAAGTGAGTAATTAAAAGTAAATTTTAACTGGAAGTTGCTCTGTTTTGCCTACCGATTCGGACCTCTCAAATGGTCACCGTACCCTCTCTCTCTAACGTCTCTCCAGTCTGAGATCTCTATGGGCACAGCATTAACTACAAGAAGAATGTAAAAAAAAATGAGTTCACTTGTAGCGCTACATAAATGAGTTGCCACAGAGATAATCTTCAGTAATTGTGATATATAATTGTTTACCATATATAGAAATAATCAGAAACTTAAAACATTAATTTTAACTCTACGAAGCGGATTGAAGATGACTTCTTTGCATGTCGGTTAGATAAACTTACATACCACAAGTACGATATTCAATTTCTGATTAAACTGCGTTAATCTGATTGTACATTGGTAAACAATCCTGTTTTGTGGTTTTGTGGAACTATATATATGCAGAATATCAGTATATATAAATATATAACTCATAGTTAATTTCTATGGTTAGACCATCGTTAAGCCAGGGAGTTTTTAGTTGATCAAATTTTGCTATAGTTTGCATAGTTCATTATTATTTCTGTATGCTTCAGTCACACAGGCAAGACTATACGAACTCCAATCGTGGTTAATAATAAGAAAAAGTTAAGTGTATGAAAACATGTAAAATTTTAATTTTTGTCTGCTAACGGAAATTATTTTACTAAGCACATATTGTGGCCAAAGTCTTAAAAATTAATTAGCAAAAATAATACGTTGCGAAATCTTATCGTGTTAAAGTTTCGACTGATAATTGTGGTCAGTGTGACGTTGACAGCTTCTGTGGTCTTGTAAGCTGTAGCTGATAAATGGTTTACGTATAATATAAACACGTTGAAATAATATCGAAATGTATTTTTGACAGATTAATACAGAATGATTATCAAGTTTTCTACAACTTTACGTTAAAGCAGACAATTTATAAAATTAATAGCACGTAAAATTGTGTACATTATGTTGAACGTAAAAGTGAAAGTGGAAGTTTTAGAAAACAGAAAATTTAATGTTTTTAGGGTTTTGTCATTTTTCTTTGTTAAAATATACCTATTTAACCCAGTTTATTGTATTTGAGAAACTGTGCTAATCAAGTTCGCCATAAGAACGAAGCGAAAATTTACAGCCAACTTCGAAAAACAAAAATTGTATACAATAAAATACTAAACTAAATTTAATGTATAATAGCATTCTTTTAAAATTGCACTTCTGCAGTGAAAAAGTCATTTCTATAGTTCACATTTAAGAACCTGCATTGTCATCGACGGCAATTATCGAGATTCGCTTATTCATTCATTCATCATCCTTCTGGTTTTGTAGTGTTCCCATTCAAGGAAATGCAAATCAGTCTAGTCACAGTTGGTCACTTTTTAATGGAAGGTCCGCAGCAGACATAAAAAAGTCGAAAGATAAATTTTGTAATTGTGATAGGAGAAATATTTTGTACTATTACTGAATGAAGGAAAAATAACAATTTGTTTAGTAAATTGCGTCTTTATTTTATCTTTAATGATAATAATTGTTTATGCCCCACGTGGGTTTGAATGGGACGTCGCTTTTTTATGTAAATTTTCGCGTTGTTGCAGTAACGTATAAGGCCCAATGTCTCCAGAAAGATCAAATTCACCCCAAGACGAAGCAGTAATGACACCGAAAATGTCAGTACCGGCCAGTCCTGTAGCAGGGACACCCATCCGAGAAGCCCAGTCACCCATATCATTGCTGTTAGCGGTAGCTCACAGTCAAAGCAGGAATGGTGACGACGATCTTACAAGTTTGTCGTGGCTGCACGAAAGAGATCTCTTGAAAGGTACTTATTAACCTAAATAGATGCAATTACAGATAGATTGGTTGTGTTGCCTTAGGTATGAACATAAACCCATCACCATCAAATAGTGTCAATTCAACACCGGTAAAAGGTAGCAATAGTCTGTTAATGGATTCGTTTCCAACTAGCGATTACGTCGATGAATCTTCCATATCAGCAGCTGATTCGTCGAGTAGTTCCTTGAATTCGCCGATTCCGTATCAAAACCACAACGGGACGCCGTCTCAGAAGAATAAACACCCCCACAATGTACCTTACGATCCTTTGGTTCACACGAATAACAAGCCGCCATATTCCTTTTCCTGTCTCATTTTCATGGCTATCGAAGATTCGGCCCAAAAAGCTCTTCCAGTAAAAGAAATTTACGCGTGGATACTTGAACATTTCCCGTATTTCAAAAACGCTCCCACAGGTTGGAAAAATAGCGTTAGGCATAATCTGTCGTTGAATAAATGCTTCCAAAAAGTCGAAAAAGCACCGGTAATGTTTCAGTCTCTTTTTAGCCACTAACTGATTTTTGTCACTTCCAGAATCTAGGAAAAGGTTCCTTGTGGACTGTAGATCAACAGTACAAACCTAATTTAATCCAAGCCCTCACTCGATCGCCCTTCCATCCTTGTTCTACTTTAGATCCTTCCACCTATTTTAGTAATAACAATAACAAAAACCATGCATCTCCTGAAAAAGGCTCAATTTCGCGCTTACCTAATCCCGAATTATATCCATACCTCTCCAAGAAGTTGGCTTCCGCCGAACTGAATAATCGAAGACTTGTCAAAAGCGAAACGTCGGATGAGTCGTTAGACGCTGTTGATGCCGCCGCAGTCATGTTAAGTTTGAAAAATGGCCCTAGGAATCGCCAAAGGAAAGAAAAGGGATTATACTGCCAAGTTATTACGACTTCGCCTAGCCAAGATCATACCTACAGTGCGGCAGACTCTGTTGACCCTTTGGGAAACGACGAAGCTTTTGAAAGTGACGAAGAAAGGTAAAGTCGCGTAAAACGAGCAGGGTCACGGAATCAAATTAGTCACATCAATACGGATTAAGACATCCTAGAAGACAAAAATGTATTTTTTTTATGTAAAGAGGATATTAATCACCGCTATTTCTTTTATCTTCTGCTCTCTGTATGAACGTTTCAACGCTGTCAGAGATGGCACCACAAAACAAAACTAGCAAGATCTTTTAAATATTTATATATGGCCCTGTTATTAGGGTTACTTGTTGGACAATAAAGACTATTATTATTAAAATGCAACCTCTCAAACAAAACAAAAAAAGATGAGAATGATACTCCTGTACTGGTGGTCTAGGAATTTGTTTACACGTTGCTGTTACGCATAATTTCTTCTAGATTGCATTTCAAATGCGATTTTAATGTTCTGTAACACATTGTTGTGTGATTTAGTTAAAGACTTGTTTTAAACTACTAAATGCTTTATGTGGTTGTCACAGATCGGATTATAAAAGGACTATAAACCGTTGATTACAAAATTAATTTAAAACATTTTGTCAGTGTAATGGGCTGTTAAGCGTTATATTGAGAACGTTATTTTCTAACCATTAAAATTTTATGACGAGTATATAAACTATTGGACGTCACAACAGTAGCGTTAGAGGCGATTGTAGAATGAGCAGTGACGGTGAACCTTCGCTGAAAATATAGGATTGCAATTGAGAAAAATACTGCCACAGGTACAGTGTCACGTACACACTGATTTCTTTGCCTTCACAAGATAATAAAATTGTAGTGATACAAAAATAACGTTCTGAGTATAAATGAACTAATTAAATGGAAACCCATATCTTAACCTGTGTTAACGAGGCTAATACGATTCAGCGACCCTACGTTAATCACAGTATATATAATTAACTATTTACGTTAAAAATTTATTAGAATTGTCAAGAGTCGTACGTGTCGGAAGATCGACTTTGAAGATGAAGAAGAACGGAAGATCAAAGAAGGCGCCGAAACTCTTCTCAACCTGGCAGGAATAACCACGAGAAAAAGATATAGTTCTGAAAGTTCCGATTATGATCCTCATAAACGAATAAAAATGTCACCACAGTACGACATCAATGATAACGAATCAGAAGAAAGACCAACACCGTTTAAACCCAGGTTATTAAGAACGAAGAAAAAAGAAGGTAAATCAAAAGTTTTGTTTAACAATAACAACAATGACGAGTGGGTCAAACATCGGCGCGAATTGGAAATTAATCAACATAGGTAATAATCAAACGCCGAGTAATTTGTAGGAAAATAACGTAACGCTATATAAGTTGAAATCTAATACTGTTATAGTAATTTTAATATATTTTATGTTTTTGTTTACATTTATAATATATGGAAAGTAACTCTATGTTAGGATTGTTTCTAGAAGTGTTATATTGACTGACGAAAATATTGTTTTTCAAGATTCTTTCACATAACAGTTCCAAATTTGTGGTAACGTCAAAATTTCAAACTAGCACACATAGGAAGTCAAACAATTGAGAATATGGGAACAGGTAATAACAATTAACGTAAAAGTACGTGCATTAAATTTATATTTTTGTCACTTGTTCCTTTCTCTAGATTCGCTGATCAAATGATACAGATTCTGAGGAAAGTAAGGTAAGGTTACAAATGTACAGTTACTTGCTTTATTTGAGCGAGTAACAATAAAACTTCACCTCGCGTGATTGCTGGATCTATAATTGTACAAAGAGTTGGTGACCATTGAATGAAAAATGGAAGAAAGATTTCCCAGTGCCCTTAAATTCAATATGTGTTATAAATTTCTTCTTTCATATCATTCTTAATATTTTTTGTCGAAATTTTCACCAGCTTGCAATTAATTAACTGCTCGTGCCCGTTGTGTTTCACGATTTTGGAACTGTTGGCGCTTTTCTTATTTGTTTTGTATTTAATGGTCAGGTTCATCACCAAATATTATTTATATAAGAGTGATTTTCAAGTCAAATCAAGAGAATAAAAGTGCAAGAATTTTCTATTACTATATTTATATAGAGGAAATTTTATCTAAATAAATTATGACTTTTAAAGTTGTTACCAAAAGTAGAAATAACATGTAATTAACACTAGATGGGGATGTAATTTATGTTATTAGATAATCGTGTTGTTTTAACTATTTATTTATTCTGTAGGTTAAATTAAGAAATTTGTTATTTTGTATTAAGGTTTATTTGCCCTTGAGGGTAGTTACGTGGTGTACAGAATTATTTGTCTGATTTTAATGATGTTTATATAGCTGGATATATTTATTTATTTTACGATAATTGTATTTTAATTCGGTCATTACCATTTTTAAAAAAAAGTTAAGCAATAATTCTGAAAATGTATCAGTGATAGGGAATAAGAAAAAATGAGTAATTTAAAAATTTTCCTAATGCTACAAACTGGTTTAAAGATCACTGAAAGTAGAGTAGGAGAAATATATTTTTTCTATTTCCCGTGATACATGCTCTTCCTATTGTACATAAAATTCGAAACAATCATTAAGTGTTTTAAAGAATGTGTGCGTTTTAAAGCTATTTTCCTATTAATCTTATCGTTCAATTTCCTTCAGCTACCATAAACGAGTATTTTAGGCCGTCTTCCGAATCAATGTGAAATTGAATGGATAAGTGCGATATTTAATTTTGTTAGTTTAGAATGTGAGAATTCTAAAAATCTTACATCTTATAGCAATACCAGTTTTGCCTGATCTAGTGAATAATACTCTATGCTTTGCCAATATTCTTGGCTTTGGTATATATATTTAAGATTCTATGTGCCAAATCATTTTGTACTTTTATTGCAGTAAATTTTACTGGCAATATTTTTTGGCGCCTGTCTTCCAATTTTATAAAATAGGTCTTCTTATAACCTTTCCATATTATTATGATCATTTTAATACGTTTGAACATTGTTTGAATTGTGTTCGTTAAATTAACAAATTATTAAGGTGTGTGTTTGGATTTATATATTTTTTTTTATTTTAGTCAGCAATAACAAACTTGTTTCAGCAGTTATTTAATCAAATATGTGTTTATTGTTATGACCATTTATTTGTACCTTAGTTTATTATACAAATAAAACAGCTGATTTTATTGACTTCTAATAATTTATAATTCCTAGTGATCAATCAGAATAGATTTGTTGTCAAGCATGAGTATGCACTGATTAAAACTAGATTTCATGACTTGTCCGTGTTTAAAGAAAAATCACAACAATACCAGAATAATTATAAAAAATGTAGTTTTAACGAGTACAATTAGTGTAACAAAAAAAACTTTGACTAGTGTAGTTTTGAAAATAATAAAAACTTGAGGCAGGGAATTCACTTATTCAGGGTTCATTCAGTGTTAAAGTAAAACTTGAATTTTTTAGCACCGTATCAATGGCATTTCTAGGTTAGGTTAGTTAATTTATGTTGGCTACCATTTGGGTCTATCTTGTCTTCGGCGGTGACAGGGAATCTGGCAACACTGCTTCTCGTAAACACTTAAGCGTTTTGTGACTTAAGCCTTAAGCTTAAGCACTGCTTTCTTCAATCTCGTCACTTATTGGTAAGTGCCAGGTGTCATCCTCTTACTCGTAATATTTAATTTGAATCTTCTTTTCAGAAATTAAACAATGTCTACCATTGTTGAACACTTCATAAATCAGTTCCACAATATAGAAGGCACAACTATTGCACTTAGGCATAAAAATTTTTTCAAGTTGTTGCACGAGATTGCACCACTGGTGAGTACCAAAGGGGACGCGCTGGATGCCATCACATTAAATTTAAATCCACGAACTTACCTAGAAAGCTTATTCAGAGTCGATTTTCTAATTTACTTTCGACGATCACAAGAATTGCTGAATATACTGAAACAAGGGAATGATGTTTTTGTCAGCAAAATAGTGAAGCAAGTTTGGTTTTTTAAAGAAGTGTTTGGAGACGTTCCAGCACACCAACTGGTAAATGAAATTTTACCGTGTATGTCTTTTTCGGTTCGTATGAAAATACTGAGGAAGTTGAGCAGATTTTCACTGAGTGAGAAATTTGATGAAATTTATGACGCTCTTGTTAATCGGTATGGATTGTATTTCGCGTCACAGTTTATTACTGGTTGTAGTCCTGCAAAAGTAAGGCAAATTTTAATTGAAAATCCAGTTAAACTGACATCAACACAGTTAAAAAATTTGTATTTAAAGGATTCACAGCTCATAGATTTTTACTTTAGTTATAATAAAAGTTCTTTTGATTCACAGGTATATGAAAGGCTGATAAGGTTTATTTTTAATAACGACCATGCCTTGTTTGATTATCTAAAATGTAAGTATAAACTGTGTACACATCTCGGTCGAAGAGCTACAAAAAAATTTGTAATGCTTAAAAAAGATGAAATAATCAAGAATCCTTACAAATTTGATTACATAAATATGGAAGCTGTTTTAAGAAAAATCGGTGGAGATTCAGTGCTACTCTTTAGAAATGCTCTGCCTGAGCAAATCCCAGACCACTTCATTAATAGCGATTGGCTGTTTCGCAGTTTCCCTAAAAAGTACCATTATAGCTTGTTTATAAAAACTTTTCAAGATCACTATAAGATAAAATTAGCTGATCATCCTGCCATAATTAGTGAGGAACTATTAAAAATCATACCTGACAACAAAGAACGGGCAGCTTTAGCAAAAGTTTTAGTAGACACAGGCCATGATGAGTACCTCAAATACTTACTTATTGAAGACTCTGTTCGCTTAATCAAAGAAATCATTAATGTAACGTCGGATATTAAAGAAAGGGGTAAATTAATAAAATGCGTAATTGAAACGTGCCGTATTAATAACGACATACCGGCTTTATTTGACGTTATGAAATATTTTTGTTTTAGACATAAAAATGATGAATTAAATGTACATTTGCAGTTTATAAATAACATCGAAAATCTGTTTGGTTTTAAAAAATTCACTGAAGAAATGTGGGCTACTTTAAATGAGTTATTGGCCATTCACATGTTGAAATTTGATGAACGTCAATCCACGTACGAAAAAATACAAACAATGCCTTTAGTTAGTGTAAATTTAGGAACTTCTGTTTACCAAAAATTGTCTTATTTGGAGTTTTTGTTCAAAAAGGGCGACGTGATTGATGAGTTAGTTAAAGAATACTTCACTACTAACACTGAGTTCCCTGAATACAGTCACTACGATAAAAACTTTGGGAAATGTTTCTTATTGTTCGTTATAAACAATATAGCTCATAACGACATACACTTTAACTACAACTTAATTTGTGAGATTGATAGTTGGAATAATGTCTATAAAGACAATCAGTTATCTTTTTATGATTTTCCGATACTAGTTCACACGTTTAACCAAATTATTATGAGGGATAGACTGGCGATAGAGTATCCTGGCGTATTTCATGCGTTCCGCAATAAAATTTTTACCACAGAAGAGAATCTGTTTAAAAATGAATATATGCAGATGTATTGGGAGCATTATAAAAGGTTAGCAAAACTGACTGATATTCGATGGTTTTTGAAATACGATCCTCTTACCATCGTGGCCAACTTAAAGATGGTTTTTAAAATGTTGAATAAAAAATTCAACGGGAGATTGCGTTTGAACTTATGGAGACAGATTAAAAAATTTAGTCACTTGCAGTTAGGTGAAAAATCAATTGAAACGTGTTTAACAATGCTGAGTGATGAAGAAGGCACTAGGATGAAATCGTGTCCTATTCGTTTCTTGTCTGTTTTAATGAAACCTGAAGATTACGCAGCATTGGCCGATGCACATAAACCTGGGAACACAGAACTAAACCTAGAAAGCGAAAACGATGTCAGACGATATAAATTACAATGTGCTATAGCCATGCATTTTAAAAACACAAAAAGCTACGAAGTGCTTCCTTCTTTGCTGAGCTATTGTACCGATGATTTCTTTAGATATGCTAAGAAATCGCTTTACAGTTTGCTGTATCGAACACCAGAAAACGAACTTCCTCAGTATTTGAATTACTTATCGAATAATGAGGCGTTGTCAGTACATGCCTTATACATAACGTGTGAACTGACTGCCTCGTCAAAAATTGAAAGTATACTTAAGCAAGAAACACAATCGCTACAGAGGTACCTATTTCCACCTACAATTAATTACTTTGTAAAAAATCCTAGTGATTCGATATTCGAATTAGTCAAGATGTATATACCGCTAATTATACGAGGTGACGAGAAATCCTTAAATATTTTAATGGAACATTTGACGAAGATACCTCAGAAGTATAGAGCTCAGTATATTCCATTAATTTGGAACTGCTTTGAAAATACCGTATATGAATGGGAAAAATTGTTATCCTTAAAAAAGAGAATTCTTAGCTGTGTGACCTGCGAAATAGCTAGAGAAATTCCATTAGAATTTGGCGTACGAGTTATTCAACAACACCTCTTTGCGAACAATAAAGATAGAAGAAGAAATCCGAATATAGTTCCTTTCATGTTCATATTTTTAAGCAGCAAGGACGAAAAGCAACTTATTTTTAACAAAATCTTTTCCTTCGTTGACCAATGTACGTGTAAAGAAGAAATGTTTACTGTTCTTCGTGATTTGTATCACCAAGTTATGAGTTCAACGAGTGATAATTTGCGATACATGGAACCGTACGTGAACTACTTTGAAAAGAAAGTTTCACTGACTGAAGATTTTTATGATTTCATTAAAATTTTTTTCTTAAAATGCAAGTTGGAATCAAGTCAATGGACTGTCGACCACTTGGCTAACAAAATTTTAGTTTTCTTTGAAGAAGTAGTTGCAAAATGTGGACCGTGGGTGATTCATTTATTTGCAAGAGAAATGAACGTCGGCTTGGCGTATTTTGCAAAAAAACCTGTTACAAGAAATGAGTTCTACTGTGCCATGATGAAGCAACGTCCGATTCCTATCGTGGCAATTTTGCTGTTGGAGGTAGTTTCGGAACCATCGTGCGGCAGCTCGCCAGATGGAAAAGCGCATTACCATGAATTGTTGCAACTGATAAAAAATATTGAAGATCCCGCTGTGCAAATTTTTTTAGGACGTAAAAAATATAAGTCGTATGGTCGAAGCGTTTCTGAAGATAGGGATGATGTTTCTGTAAATTGGGAGTATATGTAACATGATATTTATTTAAATAAAAAATATCTGATGCGTTGTGATTTATTTTATATAACACAGTTATAAGAATGTTATAATAATGTAACCAATAAATAAATTAAAAGCCGAGAAAGATTCGCACTTTTCTGTCCAAAAATTGGTTTTTATATAGTGTCATAACAATATTTATATATACAGTATATATTTTTATCAATTTGGCATCGAGAGTTTTGTGCCAATAAACCCAAGCCGATAAGATCGTTTTGTGATTACACTAGTACAAAGGTCGTGGTACATTTTTATCTTGTCCCGTATGCTGCTAATGCATAGAGTAGAAACCACTAAGTCTCCTTAACATTTACAGAGATTTCTCACAGTGCGTCATTTCATCATTGGTGCAGCGTTGGTAGTTTACCACTCCTAAATTCTAATTCAAAGTAAGCTTATAAATCTTTTTTTCAGACATAAAATAATGGCCGCCGTTGTTGATCAGTTCCTAAATAAGTTCCAAAATATAGAAGGCACAACCATTGCAGCCAGGCAGAAAAACTTTTTCAAATTGTTGCATGAGATTGCACCACTAGTGAAGGACAATGTAAAAGCACTGGATGCCATTACGTCAAATTTAAATCCTCAAACTTACCTGGAGAGCACATTCAGACTGAATTTTCTAATTTATTTTCGAAGATCACAAGAATTACTGCCTTTATTGAAAGAGGGAAACGATGTTTTTGTCAGCAAAATAGCGAAGCAAGATTGGTTTTTTAAAGAAGTGCTTGTGGATGCTCCAGCAGATCAACTGGTAAATGAAGTTTTACCATGCATGTCTTTTTCGGTTCGTATGAAAGTACTGACGAGGTTGAGTAAATTTTCACAGAGTGAAAAGTTTGATGAAATATATGACGCTCTTGTTAATCGGTATGGAATGTTTTTGGCGTCACAGTTTATTACTGGGTGTGGTCCTGCAAAAGTAAGGCAAATTTTACTTGAGTATCCAGTTAAATTAACATCAACACAGTTGAAAATTTTGTATTCAAAGGATCCGCAGCTCATAGATTTTTACTTTACTGCTACCAACGCTTCTATTTATATACGTGAATATTCAAATCTGATAAAGTTTATTTATAGTAACGATCGTGCCTTGTTTGATAATCTAAATGATAAGTATCATATATCTATACACCTTGGTCGAAGAGCTACAAAAAAGTTTGTAATGGTTAAAAAAGATGACATAATCAAGAATCCTCACAAATTTAATTATATAAACATGAAAGCCGTTTTAAGAAAAATTGGTAAAGATTCTGTGCTGCTTTTTAAAAATGCCCTTCCTGCTGAAGTGTCACATTGCCTTAATAACAATTGGCTATTTCGAAGTTTCCCCAAAAAGTACCATTACAGTTTATTTGTAACAATCTTTCAGGATCACTACAAGATAAAATTAGTTGATCATCCTACCCTAATTAGTGAGGAACTTCTAAAACTTATACCTGACGACGTGGAACGGGCAGCTTTAGCAAAAGTTCTAGTAGACATTGGTCGCAATGAGTACCTCAGGTACTTACTTATTGAAGATTCTGTTCGATTAATCAAAGAAATAATTAATGTAACGTCAGATATTTATGAAAGGGGTAAATTAGTAAAATATTTAATTGAGACGTGTCATATTAACAAAAACATAGCCGCTTTATTTGAAGTTATGAAGTATTTTTGTTTTAGACACAAAAATGACGAACTAAGTGTACATTTGCAGTTTATAAATAATATTGAAAATCTTTTTGGTTTTAAAGAATTCACTGAAGAGATGTGGGCTACGTTAAATGAATTGTTGACCATTCACATGTTGAAATTTGATGCCCGTCAATCCACGTACGAAAAAATACAAAAAATGCCTTTAGTTAGTTTTAATTTGGGAACTTCTGTTTACCAGAAACTGTCTTATTTGGAGTTTTTGTTCAAAAAGGGTAACGTCATCGACGAGTTAGTTGTAGAATACCTAGCTACTAACACTGACTTCCCCACATACCGAAATTACGATAAACGGTTTGGGAAATACTTCTTACTTTTCGCTATAAATAATATGGCTCAAGCCAGCGCTAAACATGTAACTGTCAACTATAAGTTAATTTGTGAAATAAATAATTGGAATAATACCTACAAAGATGATCAGTTATCATTTTATGATTTTCCAATATTACTTTCTGCGTTTAATTACATTATTAGGAATGGACATACGTGGAAATATCCTCTCGTCTTTCGTGTCTTCCGCAATAAAATTTTTACCACGGAAGAAAATATTTACAGAAATGAATATATGCAAATCTATTGGGAGCGTCATGAAGAGTTAGTACAATGGACTGATTTTGCGTGGTTTTTAAAATACGAACCACTCACTATTCTTACCCATTTTGAGATCGTTTTTAAAAAGTTGACCGAAAACCCCAAATTGCACTTCTGGAGACAGATTAAAAAGTTTAGTCACTTGCACCTGGATGAAAAATCAATTCAATTAAGTTTAGCAACGCTGAGTGATGAGGAAAGCACTGAAATGAAACCAAATTTTGTACCTGCTTTGTCTGTTTTAATGAAACCTGGAGATTACGCGGCATTAGCAGATTCGTATAAACCTGAGAACAAAAAACTAGACCTACAAAACGAAAAGGAAGTCAGGCGGTATACTTTGCAGTGTGCGATAGCTATGCATTTTAAAAATACAAAAAGCTATGAGCTGCTTCCTTCATTGCTGAACTACTGTGCTGGTGATTATTTTAAATATGCTATGAGATCACTTTATAGTTTGCTATATCGAACACCGGAGAACGCACTTCCTCAGTATTTGAATTACTTATCGAATAAAGCCGTATCAGTACGAAAGCATGCTTTATACATGACGTGTGAACTAACTACTTCGTCGAAAGTTGAACATATGCTCAGATTGTTAAGTAAGCAAGAAGAAGTACAATCGCTTCAGAAGTATATGTTTTTGAGTACAATCCAGTACTTTGTAAAAAATCCAAGCGATTCAATATTCGAGTTAGTTAAGCTGAACATGCTGTTTATTACTCAAGCTGACGAAGAATCTTTGAACGGTATAACCCAACATTTGCAGAAGATACCTCAGAAGTATAAGGCCCAGTATATCCTATGCGCATGGGATCACCTAGAAAAAACCATGACTGTGTGGCAAAAATTGCGACCCTTAAAAGAGAAACTTCTTAGCTGTGTGAATTCAGAAATAGCCAAGGAAATTCCATTAGAAGTTGGCATACAAATTATTCAACATCACTTTATGACAGAGAAGAAAAGCAGAAACCTGAACAATATACATTCATTTATGTTCATCTTTTTAAGTAGCCAGGACGAAAAAAAATGTGTTCTTGACAAAATACTCTCAATTGTCGACCAGTGTAAGAGTAAAGAACAAACGTTTGCTTTTTTTCGTAGTTGGTATCACGAAATTATGAAATCAACGATTAAAAATTTACTGTACATGGACAAGTTCGTGGATTATTTTAAAAGTAAATGTTCGCAGGTTGAAGATTTCACCGATTTAATTAAAATCTATTTCTTACATCGCAAACTGGAAAAAAGTGAATGGGATGTTGAAGAACTCTCGAAGAAACTTGTAGCGTACTACATAGATGTATTTTTACGATATGGAACGCATGTGAGTCGTTTATTTGCAAAGGAAATGGATTCTAACTTGTCATTTTTTGCAAAAAATGGTGTTATAAAAAATGACTTCTACTTGAGTATGCTGAAGCGGAGTCCGACTCACCTCTTAGCAAGTATGCTGATAGAAGTAGTAACCGAGCCACCAAACCACAACATGGCACCTAGAAAAACTTTCAATGAGTTTTTACGTATTTTGAAAACTGTGCCAGACCTAGGAGTACAAGTTTGCTTACGGTATAAAAATTACGAATGGTATACCCAGACACATTCTAAAAATATGGAAACAGATTAAGATAGCTTAAATACATAGTAACTTATTTTTACATTAACGTAGAAATATAATGTAGAATTAGGTGTATTTGTACATATAATGCAAATAGTGAATTTTATAGCTATAATATAACATTTGATACATGATAATAAGATCAAAACAATTAATATTATCTGGAACAACTTTTTCGTATTTATTTAATTTATGTAAATGTTAAGTGATTAAATGTACGACAAAATTGACTGTTTTATTGGTATAATAATATTTTTGTGATACTGCAAGTTAGTCAAATTTTATAAACACAAAATATAATTTTGACTAATATTGTTTTGGTGCTGCTGCTTCATTTCTGAGACATTCTGCAGCAGCATAATGTAAAAATTCGTGTGAACAATGTGCAGTGTTGCCAAATGTTTTGAGTGGAATTTCAGAACACACTCACCACTTCCTTGGTAGATATGGCAAAAATTCAGCAGTTTTAACTTTTGATTTGATTAAGCTTGTGCCGATCAAGTTTAAATTAAAACTTCGCGCTGACAAAACAATAACGGCGCGAAATCGCATTTGAATAAATTGAATTTGAAAAAAAAATCAATCAAGAAAATCGTTAAACATAGGCAATCATGTGCAGGTTTACTTCTTTTCTATTAGTTTGTAGCTCTCCTAGGATTAATTTATTTATTTATTTATTTTTGGTAGATAGAGAGTTGGTAGTGAAGTTTACTTGTTTGGTAAAAGATAGGGGGCATGTCACTGTTGTTTTGTAGTCTCTGTGTTTTGTAGTTTTGTTTGGTGTGAGTGAAGGACGCGGTAAGGAAGCTAGATTAAGTTTAATTGGTTTGATAGTTAATACAAAAGGGAGAGCTTTTGTTTAACGAAAATTAATCGTAACGACGATGTGACGGTCCACCCTTGAGGAGAAACCGCAAAATACCGCAATAAGAAACTTCAGAACATAATTCTCTAACTCAAAGACTAAATTCGCATATTCGCAAAAAGCAAGCAAATTGCGCATGTCCAATCGCGTATGTATTCCAACCACCAAATAATTGCAAAACCCATATTCGCAAACCATTGAGAAGTGCTCACTCAGTCAACCCTAGCTAAATAC